TCTCACTATTGATTGGAAAAACAGTTGAAAATGAACTGAACAGTCTCCTTTTCCAGACTGAAGACAGTGACGAGCAAAAGATGATAATTTAGGCTCAAATGCTTTTTTAACACTTGCCCTCAGGAATTTCCAGACAAGTTTTTAGTAAGTCTAAATGATTACAAAATTCTTTAAAAAGTTTAAACAATCCTCTTGTATCAGTGGGAATAGGCTTCCAATATAATCTCTTTAAAAGTATAGCTGAACACTTAAAAAGAAAAAAAAATACATATTAAGAATCTTGTTTGCATGTTAAGAAGCTCTACTATTCATATATCAAAAATACACATACATTTTTTCCAGAATCTAGTACATTTTTGTGTAAAATACGCTTAGGAGTACCGTGTTAGTTTAAAAGCTGATTTAAAATGAAATAATCTATACCTTGAAGACCAAAATTCGTCTTTACAGTTAGTAATTACAATTACATTCTAAGAGCTCTACATGAGCGAAATCCTATCTGAGTACATTTACTCAGTCATTTCTGGCATAGGTTGTCTCCCTGATAAGTCAGCTTCCTTTTAAAACATTGACAGAATGTATTATAGTTTTAAACTAAGAGAGTTTTATCATCTTCTCCTGTTAGAAGATTCTGGCTCAGGTCTTGTTTATTTAAGTTACTTTTATCATTATAGGATTAATGAGAAAGAAAATTCTTGAGAATAAGGCTCTCATTGCATTGTTCAAAGCTTTAAATTCCAGACATAGCTGATGGCAAGCTAACTTCTAAAGTGTTTTCCCAAATCGGAGAGAGGACTGGTCTGCCTCACACCCAAGAAAGTTAGCCTGAGAAATTAGGAGCCAAACAGTGCGGCCCAAAAAAGGATTTTTGTTTTCTTGCAGACAGTGACGTGGTAGGTAAAGGTGCGGGCACAGAAAAGTTGCCATAAACTTTCAATTTCTGCAAAATTCAAACATGACGTGACTGGATATAGAGAACTACACACTGCTCAGTGCAAGAACTAACAAATCTGTTATCTAACAAGTTGTAAGCTTTGCTATGTGGGCTTTAACAGTTGGAGAAATGACTGCATAAGCTCTTTGATCTTCCCTGCCTTCTCTTTCCCCGGCCCACTGGAATTGTCCCCCAGACCGTCCTTGTAAGACGCTCTCAGTGGAAATGCATGAGAAATCCAGCTGTCACCCATTAGGCACATATTGAAATACGCAAATCTGTGGGCTAATGAAAGTAGGTTTCAGATATACCGGAACTGTAAGGTCCTTTGTGGATTCTCCAAAGTCTAATCTGGTCTTCAGGCCATACTGCACCAACCTACCTCTAAGACCGCCACCAAATTTGACTGAAGTTGGCCAAAGAGCATGTCAGTTTAAAGGAGGGCTGACACAAAATGATTCCAACCATTAGATATTTTTGGGAATCATTTGCTTCAAGTCTAGAAAACCCTTCCTCCACAAAGGTTTCTAACAACAACTAAAAAGACTGACTTAATTTCTTTGTAATGGGGAGTCCTTGTTTACCTGATGAATCACTCACATTTCTGTGAACACTTCATTAATTAATCTTTTCCTTGTATTAAAAGGTCTCAAATCTAAAATCACCTGCCTCTCTCCACAAGACATCCTGGAACAGGAAATAATTCATTCCTGCAGTGACAGAACACAGACACTCTTTAGAAGACACTGATGAATCAAATCCATGCTATCCTTTTGCTCAATCTGTTTGCAACGATTCTTCTGAATCTTAAATAGAGTTTCCTGAGCAACAAGAGGAGGAAACGTTCCCTTTCCTATATGGACTGGACTATTTTTCTTGGATTGCCTTTTATTTTAAGCTTTATTTGGATAGCACACACACACACACAAATCTCTCGGTAGTGTATTTTTCAGTTTTGAGCTCTGCAGGCCAACTTCTGCTGCCCTTTAAGAGCCAAAAGTCCTCCTGATTTCAACAAGAGTCTTACCTGAGAAATAACGTATATATTTTGGCATTTCCTGAGGCAGTAAGGGAACTGGAAAACAAGGGAAACCGTTTTTGTTCCTTTTGCTTTACGTTCTAAGGTGTGTATATAATTACAAGTTATCTGGAGTTCATTTGAATAGGAACAGGACTCTGATTCACTGAAACAAAATCTGTCATTGAAATACTGAACAGCTTCAGGATATATGATTCAGAAGGCTGGAGGCCTTCAAAATTTTCCTAAGGCAGAAACGCAGCTAGTTACGTGGAACTCAGACCAGCTTTTGCAGCATTCTTTGGAGGGCAAGTAACAATATCCTACCTTCTCAATGACCTAGTAATAGGTACGAAGGGCATAACGTACAGACATAAAATAACCACAACATTGTTTTAAATTCTCAGGACCTTTCATAGGACGGACCTTATTGGGATGTGATGTAATAGCAGCTGAGAAAATGAAGCATCTGTCTGCAGACAAACAGTCTACAAAGGATCTGTTAAAATCTGGCAGCAACATCAAGAGAAATCCCTTGACTGAGGCTTCAGTTCTGATGCATTATTGTAATAAAAGCTACTGTCAACACAAGCATAACATAGTGCTTCTCAGTAGCTCCAGAGCAGGACAGACCAGAATACTTGATAATGAAATCGGTAAAATACAGGGATGTGAGTTTTTACCTCCTAAAGCCAACAGAGGAAAAGACAGGGTAAAAGGCTAATTCTGTTAAAATCTCCTGCCCGGAAGAGTAAATGTTCAGAAACAACAGAAAGTTTAAAAGGAAACTGCTTTAGAGTGCTATTTAAAAGTGGAACAATTTCATAAATTCAGAGAAGTTTGTTACATTAACCAAATTCATCACCTAAACTAATATCTGATGTAGAAACAGAATCCTCCAGCTAAGATTTGATGCGAGTTAAACCATTTAAATATTAGACAAGTTATTATTTTATACTGATATAAATAATATATATTATATAAAATATAATATATAATAATATTTTGAATATTTTGATGTTGGGTAACATATTCACTCACTACAGTTCAACTAATCTGTCCCATAGTAATTGAAGGCACTAATTGGCTCTTATCGTAACAGATATTTTAAAATGAGCTGGAGATTTAATGCGATCTTAAAATTTCTCTTAAGTGTTGGTTTGGCCCAACACATAAATGCATGCCTTTGTATTAAGTACAACTTTGTTTAGGGGGGAAAAGAAAAACTCATTAAAAAAAATAAAATCAGTTCTGTGGAAGGCTTCTCCTTTTCCTGCACTCTTGAAATACAATTCCAACAGCTTCGAAATAATTTCTTGAATTTTTTTGAAATCTAGCTGAAGATTGTTCAACAAAGAATTTAATTCAGACCCCAAGTCTTTTCCCCAGGATCAACAGAATACTCAGAAATTCCTTTTTCTCTTTCAGAATTGGCACTGGTCAGTCAGAGATAGGAAAATAGCTCCAGAAGAATTTCTGTCTTTCTTTCTCCACTAAAATGATTCCTCAATAAATAAGTTTTTTCTGTCATTTTAAATTCAGATGAGGTACCGTCTTTCACTGCTTTTCCTACCTGACATTACCCTTGCATAAATTTGCTGTATTCATACAACAAAATCCCTAAAAGTATCACTATTTCTAGTTCTCTGCTGCTATTCTCCTTCCACGAAACCTCTTTGTCTTTTCTCTTCCTGTAGCTTCTGTTGCTTAGAACAGCTCTGCTTTCTAAAAACCTTTTTTTCTATTATCAAAAGAAGTAACATCTACTCATAGTTGCTGACAGAGACTACAGAAGGCAACTACAGAAGGGAAGGGGAAGGACATAAATATCTACCACTGTGTTATCCATGAAGGTTTACCATCACATCTGCGATCTGCATAGCTCTCTTACACTGAAAATATTTAGGTACGGAGAAGGGTCAGCTACAGCTTCAATTGAAAGCCAGCATGGGAAGCAAATAGGTGAAAGGCAGACTTAGGTCCTGGCATACCACTGTCCACAATTTGTTACACAGCTATAGAAAGCATCTCAGAACTGCAGTATCTGCAGGAAATTCCAGCTGCAATCTACATACTAAGGACAAGTGGCAAGAGGACAAATTGACAGTGACATGAATTCAGTAACATCCAAAATAAAACCTGTGACTACTTCTAGTAGTAAGCTGGAGCTGCCTTTCTCAACTGGCAATCACTTTTCCTCTTCCATTCAGGACTGAATGGATTAATACACACTCATAAAAACAAATTTTAAGCAAAATTGATGAGAACCCTTAAAAATTTGTATCATCTTCACTGAATGTGCAGTCTAATAATCTCACATTTGCAGAATGATAATTAACACTCTTTGGCTTTTTGTTAACATAATTCCTAATGCTGTCCCTTGCACCATTCTTTGCAGTAATGACACAGTCTGCTTCCTTGCTGGAATCCCAAGGTCAGCCAAAGGATGATGAGGTGATGAAAATGCAAGTGGAAGGCATTCCACTTCCATTTCAATTTAGGTGGCTTCTAAACAGCAGCTAAAGTTATCATACTCTCAAATGCAGAAGAAATTCTATTTTGTAGCTAGGAAATTATATTACATCAAATAACAGCTTACCTAAAGATTACCGTAAAGATCACCTGCTAGTAAGAAACACTATGAAACTATGGCATAGCTACCTTCTGTAGTCTTTTGCAAATGTTTGTGCTTTTAGTATCAGAAACTCATGATTTATAATGGTCATTCAGAATGACTTCTCTCATTTCTTACATTTCTGCAAACTCATTTTACAAGTATTTTGTCTGACACTTGCTCATGATTTATTTGATGATTATTATTAATTTTCAGTGGCTCCATGTCTTCGAAATAGAAGAGCTGTACAAAGTGTTTGCTGCATACAAGAACCTGAATGCAAAAGGATGTCTTCATTTCATTGTGCTACTGTTTTTAGACAGGATCCTCAGTCTCTTCTACTTACCAGATGAAAAATTTGCTAGGAACAGTATTAAACTACTACCTTGACATGTGTGCACAGAATTGCCTTTGTTGTTGCATCGTTTCCCCACCTGCATAGGGTTGATCTGCACTGAACGCTCGAAGCACTCCACACACTGCCCGAACTGCCGATTGCGGAGGTAGAGGAGGCCTTTGGAGCGCTGCGCCCGGGCACTGCGGTGCCTTGAGAGCTCCCAGGCCTTGTCGTAGTACTGGGGGTCTTTGAGAACGTCACCAAGCAAACAGTATAGTCCTGGTGTCTCCTTTTTCTCTAGCTCTCTTCTCAGTATTTCTTCTGCCTGTTGAAAAGCAAAGAGAAGTCAACTCCTTACTAGGACAATTCATTGTCAATTAATCACCTACCTGAACAATACCAATTTAGTACCTTAGAATCATCAGTGAATCCTCGGTTGTGTTTGGTTTACTGCACCAAGAAAAATCTGCCCATCAAAGCAAGAAGCAGCTTGCTCCTTCTTTTATATCCTAGGTGCGTATTCTGTCCAAAGAGCAAATATCAGTCCCGGAAATCAAACCTACACCTTCCTCTTCCTCTTGGCAATGCAGTATCAGCACCATGAAGATCCTCTTATTATATCTGCATTTTTTTACATTTCCTAATAAGTACTCCTGCCATTCCTTTCTTTCTAACTATTCTTTTCTGAAGGTAGTTACTTCTGTTCTATTATGTAAGACGATGCATCTATCTTCATACTGTTGGTTCTGGAAAAGCTATTCTTCTACACAAAATACAGATGTTACACATTTATCTAAATGTTTAAGATAAAATATATTCAGAACATATACAACATTATGGAAAAGACGACGCAAGCTGGGTCTCCCAGACAATCTATTGGGCTACAACCAACTTTCAAAAGCTCTTTATCTTGAGTTCACTATCTCATTCTAATAACAAAGTTTTTGTTTCTTTTTTCAAACAAGAGATAGTCTGCCTTCCTTGGCCTTTCCAAAAGATAAATATGCTGGACAGATGATCTATTGTTCAGACTGAACTCTTACGTCAGTCCCCCACTGCAAAAATGTAACATATATAATTCAGTGCAGCATAAATTTGCTATTTGAAAAGATGTATTCAAACAATCTGAAACCAAGGCAGATCCAACACAGCCTACCAGAGGATTAGGGTTTGATATTGAAACACTATTCGTTTTTCTACCATAGCTTGTTTATCTAACAGGAAAGCTGTGTTCATCTCTGCCTTTAAATTATTATTGCTTTTCTTGTTCTTATGAGAACTGTTTTCTTTCCCATTCAGACGATACCTAGAGAATTAAACAAATGGCTGCTATATGAGCCCTCCTCCTCCTCCAATAATTCATTGATCATATTTGAAAATCATTTTTAGAAGAATGACTTAAATATTTTACTTTGATTTGAAATTTTTAATGTCTGAGTTTTAACACTTCACTCTTACTACCATTTTAGTTAAAGAGAGTAGCAGAAATATAAACGCGTACAAACACTTGAAGTACACAAATATGAAGAAGGGAGTGCATTGTTTAGATTTGCAAAGGGATGTTTAACTGGCAAAAATGGAATCAAATTAAGAGGAAAATTAAGGGTTGAAAACCAGGAAAATAAATTAACAACAAGTGCTTTTCAGTGGCTATGGAACAGTTCTCCAAAGGCAGCTGAAGTGTCTCTTATATGAGACGTTTAGAATCAGCCTGGTCAAAGCACTAGAAAATACAGCCTAGTAAGAGGGTTGCACTGGCAGAGGGCATGGTTAGATGACAGTTTCCTCCCCCTTCTCTGCCTCCACTAATTGCTTTGACAGATTAAAGGAAAGCATATTAATAACAAACCTTTAATATGATTGTTTCAGAGCAGAAAGAACTAGGCACTTTATGACTGCAGTAATCACATTAGGCACCAAAGGGTAAGCTTTTTTTTTCCCTCTGTCCTTCAAACAAAGGAAAAAGACTGAAATTTTGCTGTGCGAACAGCAGCAATGAGGTGAAAAGTGCATTGCATGCTGCTCCTTTTAACTCTTCCGGAATAGGGCACTCCCAGGCTTAGCTTGCTCTTCTACGGTAGTGCCTAGCACTAAATAATACACTAGACCAACAGGCCAACCATTCGCTAATTACATTTCATATTTAAGAGCATAACAACATCATGTCCTGGCCTAAATTTGCAAGAATTCATTGCCAACATAAATATTTCAGCATAGAGATAAAACAGGCAATTAAATAAGCAGAAATCGGACTTTTTCTTCATCTCATTAGCTATCTGATCTCCCTTCCACATGTTACAAACCTTTCCATTACTTAAATCTGTAAAGGCTAATACAAGTGATTGCAACCAAGAAATAAAAAATTTGTATTCCTGAAACATTTGTCCCCTACAAGACCAGATAATACTTTAAAATAGGATTTCTCATTTTGCTGCAGGTTTTTGTTAAGACCTCTCTAATTTCATGGCAGACTACTTTAAAAAAATGCACATTTAACCTTTGATAAGAATTTTGCTTCTGCAAAAGGGCAAATCTTGTCTTGAAAAAAGAATTCTTATCAAGAAACATTCTCTACCCAGTTGATAACGACGTATATAAAGGAAATATAAACATTAGAGATTTAATTGCTCTTACCCATTAAACAGATTTTAATTATTAATTGGCATGTTTAAGAAAAATATCAATAAAAAGTTAACTAAAAATAAAAATTGAAACTTTATAATCCTTCCTGACTGGAACAGATGCAATTATAACAACACTGCTTTTCCTAGAATGGTCTGCACTGAAATGGATGGAAATCAAGGCTCAGTTAATAAAGTAGCTGATTTAAGCATGAGAACGACTGAAGCTGTTATCTTGCTTTCTGGACTACTACAGCTGATACGGGAATTAAATAGGCAGTGCTTCACAAAAACCCACAATCCTTAAAGAAAGTTCTGGTTTAAATAAAAGACAGTGACTTTTCATTACTCACTACAGAGAATCCTGGAAAACAGGTTTAAGAATCTTTCTGCATTTGGCTACCCAACCTTGAACTTTCACTTGCCTGTCCCATCTACCAGTTCCCAGCCTTTTATTTTACCTGTCTCATAAGAGCCTCCACAAGCCCCGCTCTTTACAAAGACCTATCCGTTTCATTATCCAATAATTCAGTCCTTTGTTAGTTTAAAGAAATTCCTAAAATGCTTTCATCTTTTCTATTTGGACAGTATTTCCTAGGCTACCAGAGAAGTAGCATGAAGAAGAAGAACATATGATCATGGAAAGAGGTAGTGAGAGAGAGGAGAAAAGGAGAACTCCTTAAGCTGTAATTTCATCTTTCTCTCTAACTTCATGCATGACCATGGGCAAGTCATTTACTCTTCTTTCTCAAGATTTGGTAGCTACATATAGGGAATGCTCACCTGCTTTCAAAGTGTAGTGCAAATCAACCAAGTTCTTGAACTATCTCATGTGCTAATCAGGACAGCACTATATTTGACTTTACTTCTGGGAAGCATTTCCTGAATTTAAAGCTAGGCTTCTGAGTTCTTATTATAATTGTGTTTCCTTGCTCAAATGTTTTGAGAAATTTGTGGATATTTTCATTCATAAATTTATCTCATCTAATGTTGTGGAAGGTGCTTTGTTGGGTATGTTAATCTAAAACCAGGCTGCATACCATTCTGTTTTCCCTGCTCTGAGGAGATTATGGGGATAAGGAGAGAGCTGAAAACAGTGTTACGAGACAGAATATCAGGCTGATGCTAAAAGGCAGCTCTCATGAATCCAGCAACAGTCAACAGCTCCAGTGCTCTAGAGTTCCTGCAAGGGAGAAAGTCCTCACTTCAACTGGATAAACTGAAAACTCCTGTCTCCAGTTCATCCTTTCTTTTTCTTTTTTCTTTTTTTGGGAGGCAGGGAAATAGAGCCATTTTTATTATATTTTCTATTTCAGGTGAGGTTGAGAGATCTCTTATGCCTTAACTAAATAAAGCTGTCTGTTGTAAATAATTCTCGGAAGATCTCTGGGTCTCGCTCACAGTCAAAGGAAAAGGGAGAGGGACACAGTAGAGAATCTGACTTTTCAACACCAGTTTTCACTACGCACAATGAGATTAGTGTTTGCTTTTCAACCGCTCTGCTAGAGGAATACAACAATTATAACATTGGAATGACCCGGACAGAGACTATCAACATACGGCGTGCTCAGATTTTATAATGTTCTTTTTGTACTGTGTCCTGCTTTACTTACTGCTTAGCACTGTTACTCTTCCATCGGCTCACATTAGCATAGCGGTTTCTACTAATTATATTCAAATTATGAAGTAAATGAGTAAAGAGTCTTATCTAGTAATAGTCAAAAGATCCACAAAAAAAGTCTATTAAATATTAGTGACACCTTACTCAGCAAAATTTATACTGCTGTTATAATTGACAGAAATACGTATTTCCCAAGTATGGAGCTTTTGCATAGCCATATATACATATCTGTCTCTTTAACAACGTGTATTTCAGAAACAGAAGAAAGTAACCTATTATTACTTCAGTGTTTAAGTACTCACCAAAATCATTGCTATTTCTGATATCTGGCTGTTTTATTAGGTTTTTCAGTTTTTAAATTATTCTTTTCCATATAAAAGCGGTTGTCAGTGGAAGACACGCAAAACTTTTTTAAAACAGTTTGTTCTTTTAGGCACGTACAGAGTAAGTTCTTTAATGAGGTCAACATCCACTGAACAATATATCGCACCAGTAGTTTCTAATGGACTTCCAAAAGAATAACTACCATGCTTAAAAAAAATTAAAACCTTTTTGATAAACACAAACAGTTCAGACTCTGAAAGCCCTCTGACAAGGAGCACGCCCCTTAGCGTACAAATAAATGTTGCTAATTTTCTGACTTTTTCCGATCTGAAGGTAACTTTGTTTCAGCCCTACTGTTATGTAGCACTTACAGAGCATTTTCTGTTTTTCAAAGCCTAGCACAGACACTCATTCTGAAACCATTTCTAACCAGTTTCCTGCGTCAGATATCCTGTCCTATTCTCCGAGTGTCATTTTCGTAACTCCCTAAGGGCAGTTTGTGAATGTAACTAGGACAGAATGCATTTCCAGGAAATGGAAAATACTGACCTCTCCTTCTCTACTGTACTGAAAGGATTCTGATATTAGCATACCATTCCCCAAGGCATGCATAATGTGACACAGAGTTTGGCCTGGAACCCCTCTGTCAGTTTATAATGACCAGAATCTAGGCATCGGTGTATGACAATGAGAAAAAGTAGGCAAGTATGAGAAAATCTAGATGTTTTCTATTAATTGAACTTATAGCTCTCTACTCTGCAAACTTAAGTTAGTATAAACACAGCCTTTGCGCTTAGGTCTTCATACAGGCATATACACATTCATATATTTAATGACACCAAGATATCAACCAAAGGAAGAGAACAGTCAGGCAGAGGGGGAAAAAAACAATAAAGAACATACTTTTGTCTAAAAGTCAGTACTTCTGAAAGCTATGTAAACACTGAATACAAGGTTTGACAGCATAAGTTCCTCTCATACTCTGTGTGAGAGATTGCACCAGAAAGAACGCAGCTGAAATTACACAGGAGTAGTCATTGCTTCCAGGTATCGTTTTCTAAAATTCTCCTCTCATTGCTCTAATAGTAACAGCAAAACAACTAACAACAGGAAGGCTGCTACAGTCTGCTACCAGCGTTTTTAAACAGTTCTGCCATTTATACGTAGAATTACACGATGGCTTTAAATACTTTTTGCCTGGAACTGGTCACAAAACTTCAGCAGCACTGAAGAAATGATGATGAATTTGAAGAAAACATCACTGTACACACAGAATAGATAAAGCCTTTCAATCTCAAGAAGTCACTCAATTTTAATGATATTTTAGCATTAAATAATTACACACACCAAGCACTGACGTTGTTCTGTTAAATGCGTTTGTAACAACTACAGTTAAGCAGTTTGAAATCAAGTGGGAATGAAAACTGAGATTCCCTTCCAGACAAAGTCCTTACCCACAACCTCAGCATCTCCCCATCATGACTGCTACAGCCTTCCTGAAACACCCACACTATACCTTGCTGCACATTCACAGTTGCTAACTTAATTTTCCTTAGCTGTTTTCAAGAATCACTGTCACCATCTTCTCTCTGAATCCAGACATAAAGTTTTCTCAATATTTCTTGCAATCTATCCGCTTTAAGTACCCTCTCGCCTTCTGAGTTATTTCTTATCTACTAACTTCTCTTTTTGGTTTTTTTGGCTCATTACCTCAGATCTCTTTTAGTATTCTAGAGGTAATGACAGACTCTTTTGCCATGTGTCCATTTTTCTTATCAGAATTTCCTCATGGTAGCCTTACAGAGGTGAATGTCGTTAAGTGAACTGACAGTTCAAGTCAGGCAGTCCCTTTTCAGGATCTCAGCTGTGAAAACCAGTTTCTCTTACCTTTCCATGCTGTCCTGCTCTTTCATAGCAGATTACTACATCTTCCCACATTTCCAGCTCCCCAAATATCTGCAAGGCTGAGCTGGTGCACCCTAGCTCAAAGAGTAAGCTTGCAAGTTGACGCTGGAAAGATAAGAAATTCCAGATAATTGAAAATAGTTAGGTACATACTACACTACATTTTTGAAAGATATTAGGGGGACTTCTGACATTACCAAGAGGCAGGCATAGAGAATATGAAATTATTCTATTGAAATCTCTAGCTGGAGCCTCAGAAATATATAAACATCTCAAAAAAAAAATCAATAGAGCAATAATTGTTCTGATTTGACTCAAGTTCATGTCAATAACTTAACGTCTCTGAACTACTTTACAATAGAATACAAGAAGTTAAGCAGACATGTGGAGGATGAATTGACAGAGTCAAACTTCCACTCCTTAAATCAGGTACGTGGCATGTGCAGCTGGAGAGGAGCTATAGCATTATGTTGGGAAAGCTGAGAGTGGGAAAGAGAAGCTGAGGAAGGCATTAAAGTCTCTTCTAGCAATCCTTTGCCATAGTAATCTGTACCTGGGGAGGTACATCACACACATGGAGAGAAAGGTTCTGGTATCATTTTGCTAGGTACACCCTACCAAGTGTAAATAACCACTGTCCCAAACGGTCATTGCCAAAGGATGTTAGTTTTTCGTCAAACAGTACTGGATTTGAGCTCACGTTCAACTCCTTAGTTGAGTTTTCCTCATCGATAAGCCAGCCGCTTTGTTATTTCAAATTCAATCTATTATTTCAGCACCCTTATAAAAATAAATGAGTAATTCTTTCCATTTAAACATAAACAAGGTATGTTTTCATGACTTTGAAAAGTTGTCTTTGGTCTTTTGTTTATTTTTTAAGAGGAGATTAAAATCACATACAGTTTTTCGACTTCGAAGTAAATAAGCTTATCATTTCTTCATGCAAGAAATACACCATTTGGTTTGCAAAAAAAATGAGGGTATACTGTATAAAAGGGCCCCTAATCATGCTATGTTATCCATACAGTGACCCTTTCCAGTGTTTTTGCTGATCTTGAATAGATTCCCTGAAGTTCTGCGTAGATGTCATGGAGCTCTCTTTATAGGCTTGGATTCGGCACCCGTTACAAATCTGAGGAGTGACCATACACAAATAGAGGCAGTATTCATAAAATTAGGCTGGCCACAGTTCTTTGACAAAAATATATCACAACCACTGTGAAAGTCTGTAACAAAGTAATTAGTTGTTAGCTTCATATTAATTGCTTAGGGGAAAAAATATTTTCCAGGGTCTGGAGTTAAATCACATTTCTAGCTAATTAAATTTACTCAGAGTCAAATTTGGTAAAATTTATATAGGCCTCTTTATTACTATAACTGGAAGACTGCAGCCATCTTCCATTATAAATCTCTATTTTAGCATTTCTATCTTTGGCTTGGAAAATTGGCTTGGATTGAAAAGTGCCACTCTGACAACTGGAAATGAAAACCACATTTGCTAGTTTTATTGCAAGTGCCTGTTGAAAGATTGTGCGGAATAACTGGAGAATGCTAGGAGCAAATACGATGGTTAAAGCAATATGCACTGAGGTTAGAAATCAAAAAGGAATAAAACAACATTAAAAGTAAACAACATGCATGCCTTTGGAGATATCTAATGTAAACAGTTTTCTCAAGTTGGTTGTTAAATACGCCATCATCAGATAAGACTCTAATGTGTAGATTTCTGTTGTTAGAAAGTTTATGTTCAAGATAAACAGCATAGTTTGGGGAAAAGTATCCTGTCTACACTATGGAAAAGGCACATGCCTAGGAAAATAAAAAATGTCTCAGCTCCAGGATTTCTTCAATGCACCGTTGACTCCTGACATGGCTGCTTTGACTGTGATCCACTTCCAGAAAGCAGCTCCAAGTGAACACTCATTACATGATGGAGAAATACGCAAGTAATAGTAATAACAGTAAAACAGTAATGAACAGTAAGATAGTGTTAGGATTACTTTTACAGGAGGTGTGCTGGAAGTTTGAAAGTTGTTTTGTCCATTTCTGAATGAAGGAAAAAGGAAAATAAAGCAAAACTGCACTACAAGCAATTATTTCTGTGTATGACAGAACAAGGCTTCTGAAAGCCAAACAGTCTGTAGAATTTGATCTCTTTCCAGAAAACCTATTGTGGTGTTAGGCTACATCTTTATTTCTACAGTGTTTCAGTGCATGACCATATCGTACTATCTCAGCTTTGGAGTCATTCAGTAACAAAAATAATGAGAATCACAGACTCTTAAATAAAGTTTCATATGGGGTTGCTTCACACCTGTATGTCCCAACGTGGCGGCACCTGACAACAGTAGAAAATCTTCATGCGTTCCGATACTGAAGTATTTGCATCTTCAAATTGGTCTGCAAGCGCCTGTAGATGCAAAGTGTGTTCTGATTTAGTATTTAGATTTAATTTACCTAAAAAAAATTTCAAAGTATTCAGGACTTAAGTATTCTTGACGTAACACAGAAATTATATTAAAGATAACATGACATGACTGCAAGCTTACACTATAATATGCTGTATTTTTTATTAAGATGACAATACCCTACTGTGAGAAAATTTAACAAACATTTATGTAAAAACTCTTCATTACAACTAATAATAACTAAAAAAAGTTTTGAAGGTATTCAAATTTCAAAGTGCCCATAACAGGTCTAAGAACCAAATTTAAAATCCAAAGCAAACAGTGTAGCATCTCAAAAGAATGCTCTGTAAGAGAGAAGACTGAAGAGTAAATGTGTGCCAAATGAAGCGATTTGTCTAATGCATTTCAATTCTTTCGCTAGCTTTTCCTGACAAAGATAACATTGATGTGCTTTAAATATGAAATTTCTTATTAAAACAGAGAAGCAAAGACATGCAACGCTTTGAGAAACACGGCTCTAATACAGAAAAAATTGTTATGACAGGGAGTACAATTCAGTTCAGGCTTTTTTTCATTTTGGGAGAACTGTGGCTGCTCTGAAACTGTTGAACTATTCTGAAACCCTTTGGAAGACAGTAACAACTTTTGCATAGTAAAAGTGCAGCAATAATTTGTGCTCTGTAAATCTACTATCAAATTAATTAAATCAAAATTCAACAGCAGGAAAAATAACGGTTTAAAGGTAGATACAGCCATAAAGTCAGTCAGAAATTCTAAAATAAGGAGGAAAATCTTTCAAATACTAATAATCACTAAAACTGCACATTTAAAACGTAAATAAATTTAAGGCCAGAGATACAAATTAGGGAATATTAACTTATCTGCCTTCACATGATTCATCTCTCCAAGTCTCACATATAATTCAGTCAATGATTTACAGAAAGAGATAGAGAGAGTCTCAGAATTTTCTCAGCATGGAAGACGAACGCAGAAAATGTAAAGATTCCCAAACAAAAGGAAAGGTTGGATATGATCTCTCTCTCTCTATATATATACATATCTCTCTAAATGCAGCTATTGGCTACCTATCTGATCTTTATCAAGAACGCAAATAATATTCGTGTAAAATTAAAATAATCAATTATGTGATTTAAACTGTCAAGCACTTTTAACTGCCACTGACTTTAATGGAATTTACTGGGTGCTTCATTCTTTTAATGAGAAAAAATCACAACAGGTAACAATAATTTTAGCTTTTACATCCATGCTCAGCCTCATTTTAAATATTAATATTTAAAATGTTTAATCTTCACATTCTCTCTCTTAAAATTATCTCCAGAGACCTGTTCCCAGAGATTATCCAGAAATCTACCCCTAGAAATGGCTGAGGTGTATTGAGAGTAAAGAAAGGGACAGACGAATAAAAATATATTCCTTTATACAGTTGTGAACAGTCCAAAAGGAGTCAGATTCAAACAACATCTTTAAAACATTAATTAAAGAGTTTAGTTGACTGTAAACTATAAAACAAATCACATTCTGTTTTAGTACTGCTGAAATGTTCTAATACTTTGCAGAAGTACATTTTTCTATATTCTGTTACAGCAAAAATTAAATGAAAAATTGTCCAATTCCTCAGGTAACCATTTTACAAGACCGGACAAGGTAGTAAATTACAATGGGAAATTCTGAAAAATAATAATTGCCCTAAGCCTGAATAAAGGCAGAAAATCCTAAATTTTTCCTGTAAAATAGGTTTTTGGGGAGAACAAAAGATGGAAGACAGAAAATGTTTTAACCCATTTTTTACTTTTAATTTCTTGTATTTCCACTGTTCCAGAAGAAAAACTGCAATTTAAAGAAAACAGTTTTTCAAAAGCAAAATATTTTATTGGAAAGTTTGTAGTCACATCTCCTTTCTACCTCTCTTATGTAGAAAAGCCTAATGTAAGTGACATTGTAGGAGAATGGACTACTACCAAGTTGAATTCTCCCTCCCCCTAAAGCAAATACTGTACTCTTTCACAGTTCAAATAAAAAGTAAAATTATAGGTAGAACATGAATATTAGACATTCCCTGAAAAAGAATAAATGCTGATAAACTTAAGCTATTAAAATCCATGGTTCATACACTTTCGTACGTTGAAAAAACAAGAAGCTCTGATGGCTCTGCATACCAGTGATGTGTGGAAAGTAAGTTACTAGAAGATTGCTGAATTCTACGCTTCTGAATAATGCTTGAAAAAAAGAAGAGGGTTGTATAGCAGGAGGATAATCAGAATCCTAACCTTATTCCATACCTAATGACCAAACACAGAACTATAAATCAATAAAACGGAAAAGACAACACTGCCAAATGAACATTCTTTCTCATTAATAATCTTCAGCATAAATACTGTCTCAGGAAAAAAATCTGTGCAATCTGCACATCTTTGCAACATAGTCAAAAGACGTGTTATTTGTTTAACTAGAGTCCCAAATTCCCGACTCAAAGTTCCTAAACAGAAGTATGGCAGAAGCCAACTAAAATTCATCGCTCTAAGTGACATACGATTTCTTGTGTATGCAGCATTTAAAAAATACTAAGCTCAATGGATCAAAAGCCCCAACCATGTAACATAAGCTTTCCCAAGGCTTGAGCTGCCATAGATACCAAGTTACTAAGTCGAAATGAAGAGTACAGAGATACGCAAATCTAGTCTGGAAACAACAACTATGTAGATGACTGGGATGGAATTTTATATCACAAGCAAAGACTACATTATAGTCAGATGAGAATAGGAAAAGATAGCTCTAGAAACTAAAAGTCATTCTCCCCATCTCATACCGTAGACTGTGGTAAAAAACTAAGAAAGCGCAATAGCTACCCTATGTTTGGGATAAGCACAGCACGTTACTTCAAAAAAGATCACATTAGAGCTTTGTCCACTTTACTAATCAATCATAAACCACATTCAGCTGGTAATTATCCATGAATTTGAGTACGAGGTTTGTTAAGCTTTGTTTCCTTGTTAAATCTTGAATGTCTTTTCCATACTGCACTCATTCCCATTGCACTTCCCTGCTTCCCCTCCACGTTCAACATTAAATGTAACATCATGACGGTCTTGATGGTAAAATACTAACTTTGATTTTAAGCCTACCTCAATTTTAATCTCTTCATGATTTTTACTCTTTTTCTATGGCTGATGGAGTTTTTTCTTCTTACACTAAGTACAGAGGTAGGATCTGGCTCTCAAAATGCTACTATACCTCTATTAGTTTCTGGTCTTTCAGATGGAGCTTATTTGCAATGTAATCCTATTTAATTTCTCTGTGTACGTGTAACACCCCTTTTAAATTTGCTATTTATCCATTTAGGTCTGAAGTCTTTCCCTCAGGGCTTTGTCCCTTTTGTTAAAATGTAATTTTTAGCTAGCTTTTTGCATGAGATAAATACATGGTAAATCATCTTCAAACCCTTTCTATTCTTAATCTCTTTACTCCAGATTAAATTGTTTAATTAGTTTCTCAAAAAATTGCTCCTTAGCCTGTAAAATCACAACTCCACACAAGCATTTTTTTCCTTCCATTTCATCTGAAGAATCTCCTGATCCAAGCGCATTTAGGGAAAAAAAACCCAAAACAAACAAAAAAACAAAGCAAGCCTTCTCTTTTCAAAAGAGCAAGATATTCACTATTTATCAAAACCATCTTGAAAACAGAGTTACATTTTTGTTTGTCTAGCAACTATTTAATTCCACCAGGATCACTCTTCTCAATAACACTGAAGATAGGTCTGTCCATATCCAAATCTAACATCGCTGGTCCCAGTAAATCATCTTCCTCAAAACAGTCATGACCCATACCTAGCATTTTATCCATGCTATTTCTTCTCACTTCTTCCCAGTTTTTCATATAATCAATACACAATGTCAATGCAGCGTTTCTCCCTTTACCTATCTTTTCTGACAAGCACGTTTTCAATTTTAATGTTCTAGTCACACGTGTTCCACCGTTATTTCTTTCATCTGTGCAACAGCTGCTTTCATACACTGTGCCAGTACTTTTAGCTTGTTGATTTTGTTTTCCAGTCTTCTGCCACTGCTAACCAGACATCCAGCTGCTTCCCAGGAACCTTCCCTAGTAAAACACATTGGGTATTACTGCTGTGCTACCTGACCACTTACTATGCACTTACCAATACTCCTCTCTGCCCCTTCTTAGCCTCCTCTACTGCCCTCATGCTCTCTGGTATGCTGGTACACTTGATGTCCCTCTTTGGTTCTGTAAGCAGGAAGATTAGACAAGTCTTTCCTCGTCTTCTCTCATTTCTCAGTCTAGAGGAGCTAGTCAGTCTGCCACAGTCAATCCCTAGTTAGTAGCTCTGGGACTCCAGTGGCACCCATCCACTCTAGGCTCCTTTTTACCTGAATGCTCCCCACAGGTTGACTTGATTTATGCCACAGGAAATCTGATATTATCATGCATTCCCGTCTTTCCCACTCTTGCCACAGTCCAGCATGTACTACCCATCTTGTACCTTAATTCCCAACAGACAGATTCACCGAGGAGAATGAATGGAAAAGTGCCTTTCAGGAAACTCTAAACACTCAGGGCTACCTTTTCAAGATGTTCTTGTGATTCTCAGGTCTTTTTTCTTCAATTTCTTCTCAGCTATGACAGTTCCTTCTCAAAATCCCACACATCAGCCTGACCCCTCCACGCTCTGCCTAACTTGGTATTTTCATTTTCCTTGCCCTACCTCTGTTTCTGTCCATTGCCTCTGCATATTTTATAATCACCAGGTCAATCTCACTGTTCTACTGCTCTTATAGTCTAGCTGCTCCCTTAGCTCCATGCTTCTTCCAGTAATTCTCCTGCCAGTCATATGCCCTACAGCTAGGTTTATTTAGCAGATGTCAGCAAATCTTTAGCAAATTATGTAGCCTCCTTAATGTTCTCCTTCATCTCATAAAAACATCAAGCTTCATCTTCTGACTATTGGTCATAGTTCTTTCAT